TGTGATGAGCATGTAGCTATGGTGAGTGATGGATAGGGGCGCGGTGCGGTACCTCGCCATCACCGATCAGAAGATCACCGCTCACAAGCCAAGTGCCATTCACGCACTTGGCTGGCTTGCCCTCGAGAGCAGCAGGGTACGGCCCACAACTCTGGCAGTCTTGGGGGCAAGACGCCGCAGTCTCAGTCGGCTCCTGGCAAAACCCGTCCCCGCAGCTTATAGGCCCTGTGGCGCACAGTGCGATTGGTGAATCAGAGTCATGGAGAACATTGCGTAGCAAGCGGGACACATACCAGAGCAATTAGCAAATGAAGGTCGGTAGACCCAGGTGTTGTTGTCTGACCGGATCTGAACCTCATATTTCGCCCCCGCAAAAACCCTTTCGGGGCTGATATCTGCACGAAGTTGGGTAAGCTGCTTTGCTCAATGAGCGAACTGCCGGGGGGGGGAGAGGAAAACACACCAAACTCGAACCAATACCACCCGTTGGAGCTGATAGGTGAACCGTACTCAGATGGAACTGACTCGAAGTTGTTTTGCAAATCGAAAACTTGGACTGCGGTTGAATCAGCTGCAGGTTGGGGGTCAAAAGTCAGGCATTTGTCTCATTTTTGAAGCAATGTCCCTTAATTGCGATTGGGGGGAGGAAGGTGCGGTGTACCGAGGGGCGCTTGCGAGACAAATTTCCACATGCGCAAGCCGCTCATGGCCGAAACCTCCAGCACTCCGTCAGGGGGGTAGGCATACCACCCTGAGGTCGTGGCTCTCTGATTAAGAGGGCTGAGCGACTCCTAACCGCAAGCTTCATGATAGGGGAGGTCATACGCGGTTCGGCGATGAGGGGCGCCAGCAGCATCGATCGTCTGGCACGAAAAACCGGTAAAGTTTCCGTTCACGCCAGTCTCATTACCGTACATGCCAATGCCGATGCTGGTCGTCTCGGGGTTAAGGACTGTAGTACGAGTCAATTTATAAATGTTCAGCTTGGCATTTGAGTGGCTGAACAAGAGCATAGAATGTCACGCACCAATATCGTAGTAGCCGGCTTCGAGGATGGAGGCCACATCGAAGTACGTTCCACCCAAACGCACCTGATGGAGATGAATACTCGAGGCCCGTGTCTGTCTATCCTCAGTGTAGCAAGGCGAGGATGTGTTGGCCCAACACTGGTCCAAATTGTTCGGGTCACACCCACCAGCCTGGACTGGAAGCCAAAAAAGCCCATCCAATGGAATGAGTGCCGGGTGTGGACAGAACAAGATTTGGGTGTGAAGCTCGTACTGAGTGCCGCGTCCCACCAGGCCGCAGCCTGCGCGCTGTCACTCTTAGTGCCGTTGAGGGTGACGTTGGGCAAGCCGGCCAGCGTGCGGTAGAGATTGAACTGGTCGAGCACGTTCTCCGGCACCAGCTCCTGCACTCCGCCCAACCGCCCAAGGTTTAGCTACACACTCGCGGAAATTGGTTGGGGCGGAGCAGAGACGAAGAGACGGAGAAAGTGGCTGTGAACGACGAGCAGAGAGAAAGGAAGGGGAACCTGCATGACGCCGGGTCCCCCTGTGGCGCAGTCAAGAGAGCTGCCTAGCCACTGAGGGGTGGGTTGACTCTGGTAATGCGCGCGGGCGTTCCACACCGCGCACGCCTCGTTGAAAGTCCGGGAGATGCTTCCCTCGACACCCAAGATAAAAAGTGGCGCCAGCAGCACAGCGACCACGACAACGAACCCGAGCCGAACAGTTGGGGTCGTGGCCTGCATGGTGGTGAAGTAAAGGGGATAGAGCGAGCGAACCAGCTTATTTTCCACAGGTTTGTTTTCCGCCATTCTTTGTAGCAGCCGGCGGTACTCCGGTAGTTGTGTTTTTCGGGTTTTAGGGTTACTGGTTACCAGTGTGTTCTCCTTAAGGTTGACATCGTTATTTGCTCAACTTCCATTGGTAGGCGACTTCCTTAGGTGAAGTGAAGTTGAAGGTGGCAAGCTTGCTTCACACAGACTCTACGGAATATTTATATTAATATGCCTGCCCGACAGTTCACCCCATTTATCTTGCCTCTTCTCTGGGTTCGTTAGAGCTTGGGGTGGCGAGGCGGGTTGGGCAGGGGCTTGCCGGTGATGCGCCACTCGGCCGAGCTCACCACCACGACGGGCACCGACTGCGGCACCGTGGCGCCCATGGCGTAGTAGTTCCACTCCTCGGCGTTGTCCTGCACGTTGCCCAGCTCGTCGATGGCCTTGGTCATGAGGAAGTGCTTGGCGCCGGCGCGCACGTTGCGCCACTCGAAGCTCCACGCGATCCAGGCAAACTTGCCCACGCCCTTGGCGGCCAGCGTGGCCTCGGCCCACGTGACGCCGCCGTCCACGCTCACCAGCACCTGCTTCACCGCCAACGGTCCCGCCCACGCACGGCCCTTCAGCTTGACGTTGCCTGCGCCCACCCACCACCGTCATCAGCCGCACCATGTGAGCTTATGTCACTTAGAGTGGTGAGTACCTTCTTCGACGAGGCGAACGCGGGTGAAGAAGTCAGGCACGCCGGGAGGCACCATGAGCGATCGCACCTTGAGGTGCCTCATCCGCTTGCCCTGCGGGTCGCCTGC